ATTTACGCACCAGTTGCATGGAGTGGTTGATGCTCCTGATGATTGAATCTGAATGGAGGTACTCAAACAGTAAGGGTTCTGGGATTTACAGAGAGGTTTTGAGGTCACTTCTTCTCTCCTTTAGGTATAAATAGATAAGGAGCTGTTCACAGGTGAGTGGATGTTGAGGCAGATGTCACATAACAGTCCTCTTGTCTGCTGTGGAAACATCAATCAGTCAGTCAAGCAAAAACTGAGGCTTTACTGAACCACACCACATGTCTTCTAAACGGCTTATGTCAGTGCACTCTGTTTGACAGATTTTTCAAAAGCACTGACATGATTTCCATGAAATATCAGCAACTTTTGGAGAGACTTTTGAATGTAGGGTGTGTCTTGAGGTGGCATCTATTCATTTTGAAGTCAATAGCTGTATTACAGCCTGTCTCGAAGGTAATGTGGCTTGTTACCAGTGTTGTCACTCTGACAGGCTCAGAAATTAGATTGCAGAAAATGCATTGGAACACAATTGCCTGGATATAATTCAGTCTGTCAACGTCAAGTGAAGCACCAACATAGAAATAAATACCAAATAGCAGGGAAATGTAAAATTGAAAAGAAGAAAAGGACATTTTTAAACTTCATACAAATGTATATAAATGTTGTGGGTATATGTATGTGTGTGTGTGTGTGTATGTATATATGTTTTGTTATATAATAGAATTTAAAGGGTTAGTTCACCCAAAAATGAAAATTCTGTCATTAATTACTCACCTGCATGTGCACGCTTTCCCCTGATCATAATCAATGTAATCAGCTTTGTTTACGTTTAGGAGAAAGCGCTCGTATGCGTCGTGGTACTCTCCAAAATGGCGGAAGACGGTAACTCGGGGAGAAGAATTGTTGAATACATTTTTATTTTTGTTTTCTTTGCGCGCAAAACGTATTCTTGTAGCTTCACAAAATTGAAAGGGTTAGTTCACCCAAAAATGAAAGTTCTGTCATTAATTACTCACCCTCGTGTTGTTCCAAACCCGTAAGACCTTCGTTAATCTTCGGAATAGAGACCTGTACTCCCGCGGGAGTACCGCGGGACCCGCGGGACCCAACACAACAGAGTGCGGCGCGGGACAACTTTTGATGGGCGAGTGCGGGTGCGGGCGGGAAGAGACTCGTGTGTGTGCGGGATGCGGGAGAATAAAATGATTCGCGGGACTCCCGCAAAATAGAAATTATCTAAACATAAAGTGTCTAAAACATAAACATTTTCGCAGTAGAGACGAAAATGTTGAATAAAGTCGTTATTTCTGTTTTCAGGTGCAAAAAGCGGATCGAACAGACAAAATGGTTCAGTTGAGTGAGTCATTTACACTGGAACCACTCCGAATGATCCGAATGAACTCCATTCACTAGCAAAAACCAGATCAAAAGAGCCATCAATTTTTTAAAATTTCGACATCGCTTTTAATGATTTAAAAAATCACGTAGTGATGGGTGAAATGGAGTTTCAAAACTCCTAATCCCATTCCGTAGCAAAATGATTCGTTGTTTCGAAGTGCTCCAATTGGATTGCATATCGCAAATCTTTTTATTCAGATCGGGACTTCAGAGCCTCTATCGCGGGACTTTGGAGCACGCATTGCCAGGGATTTTGGAGCGCGGAGAACGAATCATTTGACGATCGGTCAGAACTTGAGCACATTCTGGAGACTTTGGAGCGCGGAGCACGAATCATTTAAATTTAGTTCGGAACTTCGGAGCGGGTTCGTGTATCGCAAATCTTTTTGTCTGATTTCTTTCTTTCTTTTTTATTAAACAGTACAAAACATCAAACCATTAAGGCAGTAGTTATAAAATCAAAACAAAGAAAAAATAAAGAAAGTATCAGATACAAATCCCTTAAGAAAATTAACCATACAGTAGTAGTGTAGATTACCACTATAATTTTATACATTGTATTGTATTGTATTGCATTGTATAATACATTGTATTCAAAATTCAAGTTATATTTTGCTATATTCTGTTTTGAGTAGTCAAACAATCCAAAGAAAACTGTAATGTTGTTGGTTTCACGTAATCAAAATTGTGTAATTATTGTCTGATGAATATGCCATAACAAGAGCTCTCTTTATGAATTATGAGTATGCTAGCTATCATAGCTATAAACAGACTTTAGATGACATGAAACTGTGGTCAAATGTCTATCATAAATGTGAAAATGTTGTAGTAGTTGGATGGGGAGGGGGATGTTGTCTGCTGTTATGTCCCCACGAATGTCAAAATCAAACCTACGCTCTAGGTACACAGATGTGCATAATGCTCTGATCATCACACATTGTTCGGCATGTCAGCCAGCACCGCAGCTGCAGGGATAGTAACATTGATTATTTTTAATTGATTGTGCTGTCTGTGTAGTCTAAAGGTTTTTAAGTCAGAGATCTCAGATATTGACATGCTGTTTTCAGAACGCATCCCTCTTTAATGCTTTTACTGATTGATAAATACAGTTCCACTAGAGGGCAGTGTTTTAACATGCACCTTCATGCAACAATCATCATGCCAAAATCATCATGCCAACACTTTTGTGTTAAAATTGAAACACAAGATTTTAATTTTTCACATGCATGCCTATATTTCCAATCCTGAGGCCTAAAGTGTGATGTCTCTAATCGAGTGTTTCTTCACATCAGGTAATGGTTTGCAAGTGGCTCTTTTTCCAAGGAATTATGCATAATTTAGATGTCCCACATATGCCGCACAGCTGGATATTTTAGTGGCCGTTGCGCAAGTGATTTTCCTTTAGGGTGAACCACCGCACAGTTATCACTAAAGACTTCAGAAGCCACTCTAACGCTTCCTTCTGAACCTCAGGTGGACAAAAAGTCTGTAAATGAATAAATGAGCACATTAATGAAGTGATGAATGAGTTAGCTACACTTGCTATGGACCGCACGTCCATCTTATAAGAGCTTAATATCGCACTGCACTCAAAAAGTGAGTAAATAATTAAAAGGAAGTGTGGTTTAAAGGCTAAGACTTCTATTTTGCACCCCCCCCAGTTTATTACTTTATATCATCAGCATAACAATTTGAGTTAAAAGTTGAATTGAGCTTTTTCCTATATTGCTTTAATGACAACAGCTCTTGAGTTAACCTACCTGAAATATTTCTAATTCATTTTATGCCATGATGTTTCTTTGTTTTACATTTTTTGATTCCTTAATCTTTATTTACAGGTTTAAATTGGATTTCAAATCCAAGATGTTCAGTGTGGTAAACTCGCAGTTTTCCAGCATTTCTATATGATCTTCAAGATGGTCCTCTCAGGCTGTGGTTATCAGCGAATGTCACAGTCTCGCTGAAGTTGCCCAGAAGATGCAATGAACATAATTTCAAACAGATACTCAGCCATATTGGCTTCACAACAGATGTTTGAAGCTCCCCACATTCATTCTGACACTAGAAGCTCAGGGTTTTGTTCTTGAGGGCCCTCAGCGATTTTATCTCTTGTGTGCATGGGTTTGTTTTAGGAGAGTAGTGAAATATGCATGAGCGGACCAGCCTGTCAATTATCTTGTCATTCACTTCACTTATTTTCAGGAGAAAAAATGTTGTTGTACATGGTCATGCACCAAGATCTGCAAATCTGAGATGGTTTATTTCAGCTCCAAGCATCTCTAGCATCGCACTTCATTATTTAGGCTCTTCTGCTGATGCCCTCACATTGTCTCTCTGTCTCACAATAGGCTCCGAGGTCATCGTGGGGGTCAACAAGTACCGCCTGGAGAAAGAAGAAACTGTGGACGTGCTCTCCATCGACAACACTGCTGTGCGTAACAAGCAGATTGAAAAGCTGTGCAAGGTTAGTTCCCTCCGGCAATGATTCACTGCACGGATTTTGATGTCAAGTGCCTTCATCCGTGTTGATGCGATCTGAAATAGTCACATATAATCTCTTCCCAGCAGAGCTCTCTGTGAAGTTACCTAATCACAATCAAGGGCTATAATTCAATCAAGTACTTGAAGTGCTTCATAGAACTGACCAGAATTGATCATTTTGTTCAGAGAAACTGTCATCATTGTATTAATCATTGCAATACAGATCTGTGAACATTAAAGAAAATACATGACATTGACTCTGAACTTTATAGAATTATATTCAGTGATGTAGGAGCATGGAGAGAACATTAAAGGGGTCATATGATGCCTTTTTAAAGATCATTATTTTGTGTATTTGGTGTAACAGAATATGTTGACATGCTTTAATGTTAAAAAAACACATTATTTTTCAAATACTGTACATTATTGTAGGTCCTCTATGCCCCGCCTCTCTCAAACGCTTCGTTTTCTACAAAGTCCCTCGTTCCGACAAGCGCAGTCTGCTCTGATTGGCCAGCTGACCCAGTGCATTGTGATTGGCCGAACACCGCAAGCACTCGTCGGAAATGTAACGCCCCTTACCATAATCGCGAGCTTCATCTTTCAAAATAAAGGCAAAGACAGAGCCCGAAAGGGGAACAGTCGCGTGACAGACACAGTGATGAAGCTGGTATGTGTGCAGTACACAAGCCACGGTTAAGACAGCTGACTCCACTGTGATCTCTCTCTCTCTCTTCAGGGATCTTATCTATGCACAATCAGCTTGTAACACTCCAAAGAGAAAGGAAAACTTGAAATCGCATCATATGAACCCTTTAAGGTATGAATCTTTAAATAGCAATTACCATTTCTCTAAAAGCTAAGCGCAGTGGCGTAGCAAGTCAGTCCCGGGCCCATATGCAAAAAAATTTGTACGGGCCCCCCCTAACCCCGCCCTCTAAGTACATTGAAGAGACATTTATAGACATTCACTGTAGTGTTCATTTCAAAAGAAAACAAAGCCATAAAAAAACACTCTACCCAACAACTTTTTCACAACCAGAACGGAACTAAAAAAAAAAAAAAGTCTAAAATAAGGAAGGCTCAGCCAATGTCAATAAGAAACTACTGCATGCAAACACAAACAATCTTGGCACGGTGGCCCAAAATGTAAAAAAACAAAACTACTCACTCATTTTAGTTGCATTCTTCGGGCCTTTCTTTCAGCAAATTCATTCACGATGTCCTTGGAGTTTAATTCACAGCTTCGTGCATTCTCGATGGAAAAAATAGCCAGTCTTGATAGTCTGTTCTGCAACATGGTGCTCCGCAAATAATCTTTGATGAGCTTCAGTTTTGAAAAAGAGCGCTCCGCTGAAGCAGCAGTAACAGGGATAGTAAGAAAGAGAACTAAAACGGTGCACATGTCGCTGAAGCTAGATATAATAGAGTTGTTCTCAACAATAAAAAAAACTGGCCAGATCTTGAACTGTTGTCAACTGTTGTCTTTTAAAGGCTGCACGGAATGCTATCAATTGTTGTGGAAGGGCTGGAGACAAGTCTTCGTTGTATCTCTCCACTAACCTCTGTGCCCCCTCGTATATAGTGTTCTTCTCCTCAGTTGCAAGTATGTGTGGCTGGACCACTCTGAACAAATCGGCAACTGATCGCAAAGCTGAAAATCGCCGACTCAGCTGGGAAATGATGGATGTCTAGGCAAGCGTAAAATACATTTACCTTGAAGTAACTTTCAGCATCAGCCAAACGTTCATCCTGACAGAATTCATTGAAATGGCGCTTTGCCCTTCTAATTCTTTCATTTTCAAAGGTTTGTTTCACTCCCCACTTCTCAGCCATGAATTTTGTGGTTGCTATTGCCTCCTCAAAATTTTCTCTGAACCTTGTCAACTCCACGATGGCAGTGTCAAGTAACTCTGTAGCTTTATGAAGGTCAGCATCCTTTGCCTGTAGCATTTTTGAAATTACATTGATCTGTTCCAGGACTTCACTTTGAAGGACTATAATAAAAACTAAGTCAAATCTTTCCATCAGCCTTATCAAAGCCATGGCCTCGTTGCGCTCATCTGCCTTTTTACTGGTAAGTGAAATTTTGGTAAGGGCCTTCAACACGTCAACATATCTGTATCTAATTGCAGACACTGCATCATTGCGCGATGCCCACCTAGTAGCGCACAGTTTTTTAAGCGTGACAGCCGGAGTGAGTTTTTCAGTCATCTCAACCAATACATTCCACCTCTTTATACTGTGCGCAGAAAACACGTACAATTTTTCCATGGTGTTGTAAAACTTTGTCAGCTCTGTTATTGACTTGACTGAATCATTGAGGACCATCATTGAAGTTATGGGCAGCGCAGTGTACATATGCGGCATTTGGCTGTCTCTTCTGTATCCTTGCCTGAACTCCCGTGTATATGCCACTCATGTTCACGGCCCCATCAAATCCTTGGCCACGGCACTTTGAAATATCGAGACTTTTTTCCTCAACCGAACATATCATTTCATTGGCTATTGTGCCAGCGGACGAGTCGGGTATTTGCAAGAATCCCAGAAAAGACTTTTCTTTTCACAAATCACAAATCACAAGACTGTGATTTTCACAGCCATTGCAGCACCCTGGCTATCTCTCTCTATTGATACATACCGAAAGATTTGAGTCATCTGATCCACTTTAGATACATCTTGAGTCGTATCCATGATCACTGAGAAAAACGGCGTGGCCTTAATTTCACTGATAATTTCTTTCTGAAGTATACCTATAAGTTCATTTTGGATTTCTGGGCTGAGATACTTAACGGAACCAGCAGGGCGACTGAGCAGCTCCTTCAAATATGGATCATACTTGGCCAGTAGGTCGATGATGGAGAGAAAATTACCTTTGTTGACACTGTCATTGTTTTCGAAGTGTCCCCGAAATGCAAGGTTGTTTGATGCTAGAGTAGGGGTGGGCAAACTTGGCCCTTCCAGGCCACTTTCCTTCAGAGGTTAGCTCCAACCCTAATCAAACACACCTGAACCAGCTAATCATTGTCTTCAAGACTACTAGAAGGCTACAGGCAGGTGAGTCATATCAGGGTTGGTTCAAATCTCTGCAGGAAAGACGTTTTATAATTGATAAAACCTGATGACTGTAAATGCGTGTAAATATATGATTGAAATATTCACATTTCAGCACTGAAGGGCCATTTTAAAACCATACACTCACTAGCTCGACAGCTTGCTGAGCACCGATTTGATAGCATTACTTCTGGTAATACTACCTGAATAAAATACTGGTGAGGAATATAAGAAAATGTTTTTACCATGTAGGTGCAGATGCAGGTCAATGCAGTTGAAGGACTTCGGATGGCAAATGGCGATGTATAGCAGATGTCCTTCGAACTTGTGTCCTCTTCGGGAAAAAAGTGCTTTTCAAATTATGTTTGTAAAAAATTGTCATCCCAAGTACCTGACTGAAAATGATTTTGGATGCTTGAAAATTGCAAATTAACCAAACTGACAAAACAGTAACACACTTTGACCAAACTTGTACTCGCACTTGTACACCCAATTAAAAAAATATATATATAAAAATACTGCATTGTACTGTATTTAACACAGCCCACAATGCATTGCAAACAGTAAAAAAACGTATTACTTAAATACAGTAGAGTACTGTTAAAAATTGGCTGTAAATTAACAGCAATTTCTTAAACGGCAAAATATTGCCCAGAATGCATTGTTTTCTACAGTACATTACTGTTTTAATGGAAAACAGTATGTTACTGTCAGATTTTGGCCGTTTTTTTACAGCAATTTTTTACAGTGTACATATACTTCGTAGACATCCTTAATCTCTAATAACTCCATTCTGCTGTCTGTTGTCGGTGTTTCATTGTCTGAATATGGCACTTATCACATGCTGTGTGGTATCGGCGTTTGGTATCGGGGCATTTTAATGAGTACGGGTGCAGGAGCTCAGTATTGGGCTATCGGTATCGGTGCATCCCTTCCCTACCCTCAAAGTATTTTTCAGTATACCTCATGAGCTTTCAGTAATGAACACATATAGTATAGCATAGAGTCGACTGGCCATTGCAAAATCAATTCTGACAGGATGATGCAGGCTACAGTGTTGTCACCTGACCTCATCGCACTGTACATAGTGTACACACTATACTGCAGCAATAGCAAGGGTATTGTAGTAGTATGCTATTCCGAACATTGACCAAATCATTTTAGTGAATCAGTTTGTTCAGCTTTTCACATTCACAGAAACAAATGTTACAAATGATTCATTCAATGTCATGAGTTTCTAATAATGCATGGCTCTTAGTGAAGATGTAATTTACCACTTATTTATGCTGCATGTATAAAGTGGTTTGACATGATAAGAGAGTGTGCACACATTCAGATCATGATTTTATCCACTTCATAGCTTTTTAGCTATTTCCCCGAAGTGAAAGTTATTTGCGAGTCGTTTTAGGGTTAGGGTTAGGGTGTTGTCACATTAAGAAATAAACTTTAGTTTGATGTTTGATGTTAAACGCAACTTGACAGCACGTCGCCTGGGAGTTCTCATGCGAGGACAGTCTGTATATTAATGTTGAATATGTAAGCGCATCAACAGCCGTGATGTAATATTTAAAGTGCCAGCCACCCAGTTTCTTTCAGATCAAAGATTTGAAGGTGGTTTGTTTGATCTGGAAGCATTTGGCATGTGTTCACTCTTCATCTCTTCACGGTTACCCAAAACATCTTCGGTTCACAGAGTGTATGTACTGTATCTGCGGAGTGATGTTGGGTACCTTGAAACATAATTTAGACTCTCTCATGTTGTAAAAAAGAATGGAAAATATGTTTAAAGTAAGTAATGCACTGGAAGTGCATATAATAAAAAAAACAAAAACAAAAGCTGCACATTTGTGCTTTTAATTATTTAAAATCAGTAAACTTGTTTCAGTAAGCTTTTTTATATTTTATGTTATTTTATTATTTATTTTGAAA